AACAAGGTTAATTGTTGTGTTTATTAATTATCCTGAATAACTTTATTTAGAATTAACTTTCAGGTGTGGTATTGGCAAACTTATTTTATTTGATTATGACAAAGTTGAGCTAGCAAATATGAATCGATTATTTTTTACACCTGATCAAGCTGGCTTATCTAAGGTGGAAGCAGCAGCACGTACACTTACATTTATCAATCCCGATGTGCAAATTGAAACGCATAATTATAACATAACAACAGTGGAATCGTTTGATAAATTTCTAAATACAATAGCAACAGGTGGCAAAGAAGATAACAAGCCAGTTGATCTAGTCCTGAGTTGTGTTGATAATTTTGAGGCCCGCATGGCTATCAATACAGCTTGTAACGAACTGGGATTGTACTGGTTTGAGTCTGGAGTATCGGAAAATGCTGTTTCTGGGCATATACAATTCATAAGACCGGGTGAAACAGCTTGCTTTGCCTGTGCGCCACCCTTAGTAGTTGCAGAAAATATTGATGAACGTACACTGAAAAGAGAGGGTGTTTGTGCGGCATCATTACCGACTACCATGGGCATAACGGCGGGTATGCTGGTGCAAAACACACTAAAATATTTACTTAATTTTGGAGAAGTGTCCAATTATCTGGGCTATAATGCAATGAATGACTTTTTTCCTCGTATGACACTGAAACCGAATTCACAATGCGATGATCGACAGTGTCAAGAGAGACAGAAGGAATATCAAGCACGGCCGAAACCAGTAGTGGAAGAGAGTGTTGTGGAAGAGGCAGGTCCTTTACACGAAGCAAATGAATGGGGGATTGAGTTGGTGGATGATTCACAGCCAGAATTGGATACGACGAATACAAGTGATGCAGTTGGAACAGGTTTGAAATTCGCTTATGAAGGTCCCGTAAAAAGTAGTGAAGCAGAAGAAACAACAAGTGTCGTTAATGATGAAGTAAACTTAGAAGATTTAATGGCTCAGATGAAGTCAATGTAAAATATTTTATTTTACTTCCAATTATTCCAATTTTTATTAAATATTGTTTTTATTTTGTTTAGTCTGTTTTTATTGTGCATTTTTGTAAATCTTTAAAAATTATTTTGATATATAAAATAAACATATTTTTATGCTTGCTTATTATAAAAACATTTAATAGTTGTATTATTTATAATATAAAGTAGCGTTTGATGTATGCACAAACTTTTAAATTCCCTATTAATAAATAATTTTGTTAGGTGTTAGTTAAGAAACTATAATAATTTAAACCGATTTCAAAATCGTTACTTAAATCTAAAATCTTGCTTAAGTATGAATTAATACTTAAGCATGACGGTTGTCGAACACATACTAGATGCTATAGTCCCTATTAGAAGTAGTGGTGTGCGGCGCTTAGTCGTCGTATTTTGTAATTCCTTTCATGACTCGTACAATATAGATCTACTTCAACACCAATTACAATTTAAGCATGACATAAGTCAGTGTTATTATTAAGTCTACGAAATTACGGTCAGTAATCCCGTAAGAGTTAAGTTACGACTATGAAATTTTAATTGCCTCTGTGTTTACACTTATAATTGTTGAACTTAATTAATACACTTTGCTATGGGTTCAGAATTAAAAATGGTTGTTGTTGTGGCACGTTAGGACCTGAAAGCAGATAATAGGTCTGTTCCACGAGCTACTTATAGTAACTTTGAGTAAACACTGTGTATACACAAGCGCGTTCCACCAGCAAATTTTCAAGTATTTTTGTGTAAATTTTACTTCCCTTTTACTTATGTTTTACTATGAGTAGCTCGTGGAACAGACCTAATATGTAAAGTTAATATGTAAGGTTTACAAGACAAATACATGGGTTAAGATGTAGATAGCTTTTGATTGAGGTAGGTGAAGCCATTTCGAGTAAATTGAGGTGAAGTAAATTGAAATTTCCTAGAGATTTTTTGCAGGCACTTATACAAATATTTATTTATTGCACTTATATATTATTTTTGGTTAAAAATTATCAAATTTTTTTATGTATTTATTAAACATTGTATAAAATTTTCATAATAGTAACATCTAATGTACTTAATTTTTATCTAATTTACCCTACTCGAAATTCTGGTAAATACCAACAATCTCTACCATACCGACATAATTTACTATTTCGCTAAATTTACCATCAATTTACTTGAACTTGCACACGGCCTGTTTCTTAAATGTTAACTTCGCTTAAGGTTTTTGTTAAGTAAAAATAACTATTTGATTATAATGATAAATATTAGTATGCAACTTAATTTTATACGCACACAGCAAACTAAAATCTATGCTTTAGTTATTATAATAAGCATTTCTTAATAAAATATAACATACCTGCTTTTGCATTATATTGAACATAGCTAAAATAATTATCTGTCATTTCTCTCAGAAAAAAGTAGCGGCTAGTTTTGTTGTCGTCGTGTCGGAGTTCTAGTATTTTGCAAAAGAAATATTGTAAAAGTCAAAATATTGTCAAAATGACTAAAAAAGAAGATAAAAATCAATCAAACGAAGAAGTAAATATACATACATTAACGTTAAAAATATTAGTTGCATGAAATTATACAATGTATATAAGTGCTTAAAGCTTGTACACGTCATGTATGTATTTCAATGTATGTTTCTTACTTTTTAGGTGGTTAAAATTAATAAATGGGATGGCTCCGCAGTGAAGCATGCACTCGATGATGCAGTGAAAAATTGTTTATTTTCCGATCGTCCACAGCTTAAGGAACAATTTGGTTTGATAAACATGCGTTTGGCTCTCTGCACACTTGCAGTTGGTGTCGCAGTGCTTGCACACGCTTGGGACTTCACCCATCCCTTCCCGGAATCTCGTCCTGTATTGTTATTCAGTGTACTTGCTTATTTCGCACTCATGGGCGTATTAACCTTATACACTACATTCCGTGAAAAAGGCATATTTGCAGTGGCTATACAGAAGGATAACAATGGTGGCGAGCGCATCTGGGAAGCCAGTTCTGATATGAAAAAGTTCGATGATAAGTACATATTAACATTTACAATTAAGGACTCGAAAAAGATGCGTGAGGCAACTAGCACTAAGTCTTGCGCTAGTTTTATTGATGAAAACGGTGTCATTTTGGACAATTTAGTTGCACATGAAGTAAATCGTCTTTATAATTCAGTTTCAGCAGAGAAAAAGGAAAAATAGCTCAATGTGGACGAAACAAACTCAGAAAACATTGAAATTGGCGAAACAGTTTAATAAACAATTGATAAAGAATTGGCTGTTTGCAAATAATAATACAATTTTTTATTTATTTGGAATATTTTTAAGATTATTTCTTAAATTAACAAAAGAAAACTGATTTAATAAAACTATTTCAAATTTTTGCTATTGGCAAAATATGTCGTGAATTTATTTTTGTAAAGTAATTAAAATTTGCCGAGAAGTTATTTTAAATGTAATGACGACTATTTGATATTCCACCTATAACTTGCTTGCTTACTGCCTCCTAAACTACTGCAGAGACCGGAGGGACTCCACTATCGATCTAAATCATAATCTGTTAGACGCAGTTCTCATGACATCATTGCACGATTATCCGGTAATATTAATTTTTTTATCAACAGAAAGAAAAAACGTAATGATTTTACTGCAGTGCCTTGTCTACGGCCATCCAGCGGAATCCACCGCAATGTTTGTATACTTCTGTTCTTTACAGGTCTTCTAATCGTTTGGCAAGTCCACGCCCATTAACGTTTTATTGTTAGTTATTTTGCTTGCGATTAGTAGATTACTTTCTACAAATCTGCATTGGATATTCTTTCGCGATACCAGCAGTTATTAATGAAGACTTCTGCATATTCCTTGGCTCTTTTACTTAACTTTGTCTTTTAGTTTTCTTATCAAAGTTGTTTGACTGGACCGCCGGACATTTGAGATAGAATAAATACAATTGGCATTGCTACATATAAGTAACGAAGTAGGCATTGCCCCCACTACTTGGTTCTATTGTGGTTACTATATATTTTTGAATATATCGTAGAATGGACACAAGACCAGACGTGCCATCAATTTCACTTATGTGTATTTCTTACCGAAGAAGCGACTTATTGGAATTATTTCCCAATAAGTGAAATTTCAATAGGAATCGCTATAAGTGAGATACTATTTCTCAGACTCAGCTAGACTTCTTTTACTTCAAATACGATATAATACCGTTAAGATACATTGCAGGCTAATACGACTAATCAAAGTTAGTATATTTTAAAAGTGGATTAAAGTCCGATGAATGTTAGTATAACATATCCTTAAAAGCACCTGCATTAAATACTCAATCTTACTTATAAGTTGTCCTTCGTTAACTTAAATAAAAAAACCATTTTTTCCAATAATTGATATTTCTATTTATATTCTTTATTTTCAAACCAAATAATTATACAATAAGATTCTTAGACAAAACATTTCGCAATATAGTGTTCCATCATTGGTTTTACAACTACATCGGTCATAAGCGTCAAATAAAAATATTTTAAATCGAATTTATACAATAAATTATTCGTAACGAAAATCTATACCAATTAAGCACCGCTTACAATTGAGAAAAAATCATATAAATCAAGCTTTACTTTTGAGCAAAAAATCATTCTTAGTGAAGAGTTCCCATTTGGGATTTACTGCAACACCATTCATACATGCTACGAAAAGTAAAATCTAAAATTTACTTATTTTTCCCGCTTGTGCGCTTTTTAGCAGCCACCTTAACCTCTTCAACGACTTTTGTGCTGCTCGGTTCAGAGACTTCAGTTACTTTCTTATCCTGTGTTTCTGTCAAACTTAGTACTTTCTGCACGTCCTTCATTAAAGTTTCAATACTAGGAAACTTTTGAGCACGTGGAGTGCGTTTTAAACCAGTCCAGATCTCCGTCCGATCTTCAGCGTTTTCAATTGGCTGCGCAGCAATTGCGATCTCAAATGCACCACGACGTGGCGGCCCATTAGCATTAAGTTTCAATTGCAATTGCACATTAGATCCATATGTGTCCTGTAGATGTTGTAGCAGATTTCCATGCAATTCTACAGCACGTCGACGAAATACAGATCAGCTACGACAATGTTCAATATACAACACCGGTATATTTGCATCTAAGACAATTGATTCAACTTCAAGCTTGCTACGCTTCGCTGCTGCCTACATGAAAATAATCTTTAGAATCAGTTTTATAGATAAAATCTAAGAAATTACATTTGTTCCTGGCTTAGCATTTCTCTTACGTTTAGGAGGCATTTTCAAAAACCTTGCTTTCAGCGTCACGGAGTGAACTCAAATGCGCAGTTGTTCCCGCGTTTGGCACATGACAAATGCAATCACAGCGGATGTTGTAGTTAGTGTTTACAGCGGCTTTAAACTTTAGTTTTATATTAGGTCTGTTCCACGAGCTACTCATAGTAACACATGAGTAAAACAGAAGTAAAATTTACACAAAAATACTTGAAAATTTGCTGGTGGAACGCGCTTGTGTATACACAGTGTTTACTCAAAGTTACTATGAGTAGCTCGTGAAACAGACCTATTGTTTACTATATTTGTAAAAATATCCGGAATATATATGAAATTTAGTCCACATTTTGATGTGAATACAATAACATGTGCATATTAATACAAAATAATAATTTTTTTTAACAAACAGATTTTTTAATTTCATTTATGTTATATGTTTATGCAAATTGATAAATAAAAACACCATAGTTCTTTTGAAATAATTGTTTTTATTGACAAATTTGACTAATAAAATATCTGTTCATTTTACTATTTGTTAATGTATATTAAATAATTTTAGAATTTCTCTTAGTCTAAAACAAAAAAAAGCAGCTTAACAAATCAAATACATGTATAATTATTGTAATATAAAATCTATATCCCTGTTTACTCAAACAATTTATAAATAACGTGATGATGAAAATCGATGTTAATCTTTCATTATGAATGAGATTTAAAAATAAAACATTTCTCAGCTTTTATATATTAATGCCATGTTCCAAAAAATATTTAATAAATATATATATAATTTTA